GATCAAGGGACTGAACATCTCTGCTGGGAAGAGAGACGGAGAGACCTGGGGCTGTTCAGCCTGGAAAGGAGACGGCTGAGAGGGGATTTATTAACGACTAGAAATATCTGAGGGGTGGGGGTCAAGGGGAAGGGGACAATCTCTGCTCAGCGCTGCCCAGCAATAGAACAAGGAATAATGGGTGTAAGGTAGAACATGGGAAGTTCCACCTCAACATGTGGAGAAACTTGTTGGCTGTGCGGGTGCTGGAGCCCTGGCCCAGGCTGCCCAGAGAGGGTGTGGAGTCTCCTGCTCTGGAGACTTTCCAACCCGCCTGGACGCGTTCCTGTGGGGCTGCCCTGGGTGACCCTGCTCTGGCAGGGGGTGGCACTGGGTGAGCTCTGGAGCTCCCTTCCAACCCGCAACGTTCTATGACTCTGATTCTTTCATTCTTGTGGGATCATCCTTTTCTTTACTCTTAAGGATAAAGTTTTTGGCCTCCCTTTTAGCTGAAAATTCACTTTTCTGTATCTGTATATCCGAGTTCTCAGTTCTTTTCCTGTCTTGCTTCGTCAGGAGCGGCACATGGTCATGCATAAACGGACCCACACTGGAGAAAAGCCTTACGCCTGTAGCCATTGCGATAAAACCTTCCGGCAGAAACAGCTCCTAGATATGCACTTCAAACGATACCACGATCCCAACTTCGTCCCCGCTGCCTTTGTCTGTTCCAAGTGTGGAAAAACGTTCACTCGCAGGGTAAGGCCATGAACCGGTTTGAACTGGGGGTTGGTTTTGGAGGTGGAATAAATCTTCTAAGTTAGAGCACTTCTTCTGGAGAGAGAAGGGAGAGCTGGTATAATTCAGGATTAGTACTAGCACGTCTTAGTGGTAACATCATGAGCGGTGTGTAATTGCCATTTTACGAATAAAAGTTAAGGAAATTTACCTACTTCCCCTAAATAGCCTTCCTTTAAAAAAAAACTGAAAACATAAGTTACCAGAACAGTGTTTGAAAATACAGAGCAAGAATATGTGAAGTTGAACTCAATGCACATTTGGATTCTCTTTTCTCTCTTTTTTTTCCCCCTCTTTTCTCTTCCCCCCCTTCTCTTTTTCCCTCCTCTTTCCTCTCTTTTCCCTCCTCTTTCCTCTCTTTTCCCTCCTCTTTCCTCTCTTTTCCCTCCTCTTTCCTCTCTTTTCCCTCCTCTTTCCTCTCTTTTCCCTCCTCTTTCCTCTCTTTTCCCTCCTCTTTCCTCTCTTTTCCCTCCTCTTTCCTCTCTCTTCCCTCCTCTTTCCTCTCTCTTCCCTCCTCTTTCCTCTCTCTTCCCTCCTCTTTCCTCTCTTTTTCCCTCTTCCACTGAGTAGAACACGATGGCCAGACACGCCGATAACTGCTCTGGCCTAGATGGTGGGGAAGGAGAGAACGGAGGAGAAACGAAGAAGGGCAAACGTGGCCGAAAGAGGAAGATGCGGTCTAAGAAAGAAGATTCCTCTGACAGCGGTAAGGAACAGCTCGGTGCATTTCCAGGCTTACAGGCGCGCAATTCCCCGGCTGTGCCAGCTGCTGGTTTGCTCGTTCTGGCACCCAAAAGGATTTTCTTGTCTAGTTGGCAAGCAAAAAGTTAGTGCCTGGCCAAGTAGTGAGTTGGTGTAGATATTTGGAAAAAAAAATTAACTGATCAGTTGGATAAAAATGTGTGTAACTAATTGTTCATCTTAAAACGAGACCGTGAAAGTAGAGAGAGTAAATAAACTCCCTGCCTTGATTGAAGGTAATTCAAAGTGTGGATTTCTGGAGCACGTTCTCACGGTTGATTTAATCTCTAGATGGGCAGTTTTGTGATTTTCTGCAACTGCTGAGTATCTCAAAATGGTGAGTGAAGCTGTGACACACCAGGGCAACTTAAAAAGAAATTAATGGCAATCATTTTACTGTCCAAATGGTAAAATCTTCAAACCAAAGCAGTAAGAAGGTGTTGGCCCCGGGCATTCTGAACTTGTCTGGTGCTAACCTAGGAGGGTGCTGAAGAATAAGGTGCAGAGCGATAAGCTCAACAACATACAAGTTGCTGAAAAGCCCACGGCTGGCCTCGAGGACTGTTGGGTTGGAATCGCAAACCTGTGCTCGCCCTTGGCGGTTAAGGACAGCCCAGGTTTGTGTGGTTCTGCCACGTTCAGCTTGTGATTTTGAGGTCTTGGCTGTAAATCCCAGTGTCTGGGAGCTGCCAGCCTCGTTTTCTGTCTACTTAAATGAGTTTCTCGAGGGCCAGGAATGCTGCTTATTGGGGTGGGGTTTGCATTTTGATGCTGGGGCTGATGGTTCTCCTGGGAGTGACGCAAGATCTTTGCTCCTTGTTGATTTGGGTTCCCACCTTCCATTGTGGTCCTGGTGGGACTTTTGATGAGCTGATGGCTCCTCTGGTGGCCCTGGGAGTAGCCAGGAGCGCATTTTTTGAGCCCCCTCCTGCCATTATCTCCTTTGAGGACATTTTAGGAGCTTTTTAGTGTGTGACTTAACACTGTCATGTTTCCTTTTGCTTTCAGAAGGACAGCTTGTTCTCTTTTGTGCAGTGGCAACAGGTTTAACAGTCTGTGCCACCAGCTTCTCCTCATTTGCCTTCGTTCTCCTTGGAGTTGTCTCCTTTTTGGATGAGGATTTGACAGTGGCTCTTTGCAGATGGACTCGTTCAAACTGCAGACTTACTGCTATCATGTTTTTGGGTGGTTTTTTTTTTTTTTTTTTTGAACCGGATCTGGATGATAACGAAGACGAGGAAGAAACAGCAGTCGAAATTGAGGCAGAACCAGAAGTGGAGCAAGAGGCTCCTGCCCCACCTCCCAGTAAGAAACGAAGAGGAAGACCACCGGGCAAAGCTGCCACCCAACCAAAACAATCCCAGCGTAAGTCACCCAGCTCTTGCCCTGGCTTTGATGGTTCTTGCAGGAGAACTGCTCCCCTCAAGTGAGCTCCTTTAAAAGGAGGTAACTCTCCTCTCTACTCTTAAAACTCACCTTTTGTGTGGAATCTGTCGTGAAGGAACGCGGCCACGCTAAAACAAATTATCTAGTGAAGCATGCAGGTCAGCTCTGGAACCAATAAAGAAATCTGTTTTCTTGTTTTTCCCCCGTTCTTTGTTTTTTCTGCCCTTGTAGCTGCAGCAATCATTCAGGTTGAAGACCAGAACACTGGTGAAATCGAAAATATTATAGTCGAAGTAAAGAAAGAGCCTGATGCCGAAACGGTAGAGGAAGAGGAGGAAGCTCAGCCTGCTGTAGTGGAAGCTCCCAACGGAGACCTCACTCCTGAGATGATTCTCAGCATGATGGACCGGTGATGGAGGAAAACCACGCTGGCTCACTGAACTGGCCTGGGCTGTGTTTAAGCGGCTCAAATCTATTTTTTTTTTCCTTTTACCCTTTTATTTTTTTTTTTTTTCCCCTTGGCTTTGGGAAACCCATCATTTTAGACCCATTTTACCAAACGTGACTGGGAAAACTTCAAAATGATGTTTAGGATGTGATTTAACTAGAACTCGCTGGTTTTATGTTAGCATTTACAGGATCATGGAAACGTTGGGAAGTTTATTTTGGGAGTCCTTCGAGGGTTTCCTGCAGGATGCTTTAAGTTTTGCCTCCGAACTGCCGGCCCGAGGGCCGCGTTGGTTACGTGCAACGAGTTTTAATCCACAAAAGTGGATCTTCAAGGTCCCTCCCAACCGTGACAATTCTATGGTTCTCTGTGGTAAACCACTCCGGACTTGCCCTTCCACTTCCCAGAGCCCTCGAGCCTCCTTTTTTTTTATTTTCTTGGTAGTGTTTTTAACTGTAAATGCAGACTTGGGAGGGTTCTAGACTTTTAAAACCTATTTTTTTTTTTTTTCCCCTTCCTGCTTTTCCCCACTGACTCTAGCTCTGGTTCTCCAAGTCGGCTGCACACGGTAGTTTTGGCATGCTCCAACTGGTTTCTGTCCTTTTTTATATGCTTTGCTTTTCTGCAAAGCATTTCTGTAATGGTCAAGCTTGTAAATAACTTTTTTTTTTTTTTACATTTTAATCTTTTTTTCCCATTAATTAAGAGGTATGCAAAAATACAGTTTAAATAAACCCCTGGTGTTTTAATTCCTTTCAGACTTAAGTGGCAAGAGAAATAGAGTGTAAATGTTGGAAAAAAGCTGTCGATAACCAATCAGGTAGAAGAGACGCACCCAGACTGTTGCCTGCAGAACAAGAGGGGGAAAAGAAAAAGACAAACCCACGTGAAATCTGGTTTTGAAGTACACAAAGCCGGCCTTTTGAAACGTGTATAATTAACCTTTTTTTTTTTTTTTTTTTTTTTTGGAGTTTATAAGTTCACGACGACGTTTCCTTCGCTCTATCTCGTAGTCGTATTTTTTTTGTGTTTATGAATCCTACGTTTTTTAAGGCGGAAGTGGTGATTTATAAAAGTGGGTCACTGCAGCCCTCAACCTGGGCCAGGAAATTTTAATAGGTCAGTAATTACACAATTTTTTTGGATCTCTGATAAAGACGAAAAAAAGGAATAATGTGAAATACAAATGATGCCTGTATATGAACTGTCACATGTTAAAATATGTAAGCTTTTTATAGAGCCTCAGTCTTGCTGATTTCAAACAAATTTTTCTTCTATGTATCGCTTTTAAGAGAGCTATCAGTTTAGCTATCAGACTCTAGGTTGATGCATTTTTGTACTTAGCTGTACTGTGTGATATTTTTCATTATTTTAGGAAGCCAACATGGGGGAGGGGGGAGAAAAAAAAAAAAAGAAAAAAAATACTGTTATAAAATATGTAATGGGGTTTGAAAGCTGGGAAGGAGAATATACTGCTGTACAGCTAATAAATAATAATGGATTAACCTGCGTGCCCACCTGCTTGCTTTCTTTGTGTGTGGTACCCGGCGGCGATCTCCGGACTGTAAAGCCCCTTCCTCCGAGAAGGATCCCCAGGGGTGAGTCGTTGTCGCTTTTTCTTCAGTTTGACTGGTTTAAAATGATCGTAGCTGCTGGCTGTGGATAGCCCGGACGTTATTTCCGCTTCGTTCTGAGGAGCAGGACCGCTAAAATGAATTTTTCCCTGGTGTGTCTTTGTGATAGGACAAGGGGAAATGGATTTAAATTGCGCCAGGGGAGGTTCAGGGGAGGTTCAGGTTGGATATCGGGAAGAATTTCTTTACTGAGAGGGTTGTCAGGTGTTGGAACAGGGAGGAGGTTGAGTCGCATCCCTGGAGGTGTTTTAAGAGGCAGGTGGGTGTTGTGCTGAGGGACATGGTTTAGGGCTAGGAAAAAGTTACCTGATGATCTTGAAGGTCTCTTCCAGCCAAAACTGTTCTATGATGTGTGTTGACTGTGTGAGCCGCGTTCACAAGGACGGGAACTTCAGGAGTAGCTGCAAGTGGCTTGATACCACTTGTTGAAAACAAAATTTTAATAAACGCAAAAGCTGCTGTGTTTGAATTTTTATGTCCTGACACGTGGTCCTTCTTAAACTTGTGGAGAAAAGCCGCCTGGAGGCCAGTGCCCAGAGTCCTGAGGAGGGTGAAGGCTTGTTTCAGCCGGTGACAGAGGAGCTCCTGGGCTGCTCCCGCAAGGAGGAGCTGAAGAGGTGGATAAGCCTTCACGTGCTCTCTCGGTGGCGTGAGGACCTCACGTCCTCAGGAGCTCCAAGATGTTCCGGGTGAAGGTGGTGCCCTGAAGGAGATGTGGGTTTTGGAGATGTCTGCAGCTGGCGAGGCTTTGTGGTGAGATGTCCTCAAGGTCTGTAAGGTCGTGTTCCTCAGCAGCACCTGCCCTGCTAGGTCCTGCGCGTGAGGTTGGTCTCCAAAAGTGACTTCTCTGGTGGCTTCTCTTGTGCTTATCTGAGGAACAACATTTTATTGCTCTTTGAACTTTCTCCATAGACCCAAGCAAGGGTCTAGTGAGCATGGGGGCAGTCACCCTGGGGCCATCCTCCTTTTTTTTCCCCCCCTCTGCCTGCTGCGTTGCTTCAGTCTTCTCAGTTGACCTGATTTCTTTGTGCTCAGTCGCTACGCAGCCAGGTTTTGATTTGATTGGAGCTGGGGCTCCTGCCTTAGGCAGGTATCTCTGCTCACGTGCCCTCTCCTCAAGGCTTCTGGTTTGCCCATTTCGGCAGTCACCCTGGGGCCATCCTCCTTTTTTTTCCCCCCCTCTGCCTGCTGCGTTGCTTCAGTCTTCTCAGTTGACCTGATTTCTTTGTGCTCAGTCGCTACGCAGCCAGGTTTTGATTTGATTGGAGCTGGGGCTCCTGCCTTAGGCAGGTATCTCTGCTCACGTGCCCTCTCCTCAAGGCTTCTGGTTTGCCCATTCCCCAAGGATGTGCATCCTGGGCAGCGCCTCGAGCCCGGACTCAACCTGGGTGTTGGAAAAGCCGATCCCCGATGTCCTGAGCTCTGAGGGGAAAAGCCAGAGCTGGTGTGGATCTGAGAAACATCCCTGGCTGCCATCTGGGGTGCTTGGGCTGCTGTCCTGAGGGTGTCATGGGGACAGAGGGGCTGCTCCCTCCTGCCCTGGAGGTGGGGAGCTCCCTCAGGTCAGAGGGATGGACTCCTCTGATGTTGGGGTCTAAGCCCACTTGGGTTTAGACAGGTTTTGGTGTGAGCCATGGCGTGCTTCCTTCATTGGAGGAAGAACTAACGCCCTCTTCTACACTTTTATCTTCACATCCCTTGTAGCAGGTGATTCTCCAGGTGAGAAGACAACAAACGTAGATCAGGGGACACCTCAAGGAGACCAGGGCAGGGAGGCAGCTGTTGGCCAAGCCTCGAAGAGCTGGAGGACACGGGGACATCCTTGCAGAGCAGTTAGTGTTTCCCAAGCTGCCCGACCCCTGCAAGGCTTGTGGGAGGTGACCAGAATCCACGCTGGTGGTGACACGACCAGGCTTGGGGTGTCCTACGTTACCCTAAACCGTGTTGGTAAGGGCTGCGGTGGGTTTGCTGATCGGAGCACGTGTTGAAGAGCAAGTTGAAACGCAAGCCGGAGCCCTGCGAAACCCACGGAGGTCTTCACCAGAAAGTCGAGCAGGCGTGGTAAGTCCCCAAGGTGGACAAGCAG